AATGGCATCGAATTGAAAAAAAAAATTCGGATTATTTTTACCTGCTCTGGATAGGTTTTATTTCTTTCCACATTACACCTAATTAATAATATTTTTTAAATGCTTTCCAAATGTACATTAAGGAAATAATTAATTATTTGGATCCAAACATTTATGATTAAATCGTTTAATAAGGAAATATTATCTTTAAATCTTTTCAAAATCATGTACCCTTATCAATTTCAAAACCATCATTTAATTAAATCTTATTAAATAGGGATTTAATTCATCTATTTATTGTTATTTAAATTTAATAAAAAATTACGACTCATGTTTTCCAATTATATCTCTACATTTGTTAATCAACTTGCATTCCTTGTTATCTTCATCGATATCCTTTAATTCCATTCTTTGCAAATACTAAATAATAGATAAACATATTGTTATGTTATGACATACATCTATGAATCTGTATAATCATTTGTTATGTTACGTTATTAGATCCATCCATGAATTTACTAATCTCTCCAACGTTATATACATCATCTTACGTTTTATAGAATACAAGATCTATGAATTCCAACAACGGAAGACCACATCTAAAGCATCCACTTGCACACCACTGTCGGACATCACAAACGGTAAAGTTATATGTAAATACTATCATTAAATTTTCAATACATATATATATATATATATATATATATATATATATATATATATATATATATATATATATATATATACTAGCCGTTTACCCGCGCCAAGCGACGGGTGTGAATAATTTTTTCAACAATTAGTTTTTATTGGCGATTAGTTATTTCGCGCAAATACTAAAAGATACCCTTGTCATAAATCGAACATCGAAAATTTTCCAATTATGTTCGGTTTTGACCATTCACCAGGACTCTTTTAGGTTACCCGGTTTGCCAAACTGAATTTGAAAATGCATTTCAAAATCAACAAAATCGAAAAAAAAAACCTATTGTTTTTTGTGCCATTCAATAAAAATAAAAGGTTACCATTTAAAAAAAATTAAATTGAAAGCATAGTATAGCATAGTGTCTTTACGGGTATGCTTTATTTTACGTTGTATTGCAACCTATACTCACATGTTATAAAAAATATTAATTTAAATTGATTACTTACAACCTAAACTATGAATGATAAAAGCTATGAATGAAAAAAGTTTGTTATGTAAAGGTCATTATGCTATTTTATAGTGTAATTGGAACGATCCCCATAAATATGGTCACTGAAACTTTGGTTTGAGGTGTTTCCAAACACCTGGTGACATATAACATTTGGTTTGAGGTGTTTCCAAACACCTGGTGACATATAACATGATTGATACTATTCTAGATACAAAAAGTTTGAATACAATGAAATAATTGAAATATGACACTACAAATTAATTGATAAAAAGATAATGACGCACCAGTAGCAAAAATATCATCCTAAAGAATAGTAGAAGTAATAGCATTTATTCTTTGGAAACTATGCTTAAAACACAGAATTCATCTAATTAGAGAGCTCTTAACATCTAAGTGAAGTTGCTTAAATGTACGTTTAACATAAAATAAGAAAGCAAACAGAAGCACTAAGCCTTAATCCCAAAATTCAAGTTTATTATTTACTAAAATCATTATACGTTCAAGAGTCAAACCACAAACAAAATTGCAAGCAAATAGCTTCTTCAATCAGAACCTTTACTTACTCTCTTTATAAAGAAAAGCAACAATATACACACATGTATTTACCAATTATAGCAACCTACTTACTATTTTTACCAAATATCAGCAATATACTTACGTTTGTTTACCAATAATAGAAATGTGCTTACTCGTTTTGCCAAAAACATCAACATACTTACATTTATTGATCAATAATAGTAATGTACTTACTTTTTTTTTTAACAAAAACAACAATATACTTCCATTTATTTACCAATAATAGCAATGTACTTAATATTTTTTTTATCAAAAACAACACGTAACTACTAATAGCAACATTCAATTAGGTACCAGACCATTCCACCTGTTGAAGCTCAAATTTATGAAAACAAAAAATAAGAAAACTATAAATAAGTAATATACCACATCCTCTGGATTAGGAAATGACATATTTGATGATCCAACATCCTTCTGATAGTACAATGCTCGAGTTTATTACAACAAATTTACTAACAAAAAAAAATAACAAAAATAATATCTGATATATTTGATGCCATTAAAAAGAGCATATTTGACATATTTCCATACATTTCCATTCTATCAAATAAAAGGTAAAATGGTATTCAGAATGCTAAAAAATGAATGTTACTTTTACTATTTATTATTAATGAATGCTAAATAATAATGGAAATGTACTTACATAAACTAACCAAATGGCCATTTTAATTTCAAAAGCTTGTAGAAAGTAGAAACTGTCAAAATATAATACACACAGTCACATAAACAACTACATAAATAAACATATTAATTTTAGTAAAGGTTTTAAAATTTATGTATCTCCATTTGAAATTCATTGGCTATCTTTTGGAAAATTAGAAAAATTATGTAGATAGTTGTGGATTTTATGTGTGTGAGTGTGAGGCTACCAACCTGTAGGGATATTGAGCTTCGGTTTGAGACCAAGGTCAAGACCTAAATTCATTTGTTCATCCAGGACTGAAATGAACCAGCAAATATGCTCCTGTATATTATCTTTTATGAATTAAACTCCCAATAATATCAATTATACAAAAATAACCCAAAAATGACAGGAAAACCTTGTAATTGATGAATAAAAGAAAACATAATTCCAATGACTGAGGCGAGGATTAAAAATCGAACTTTTTTTTTGAAAACTCGAAAATGTATTTTTTATAATTTTGTCTCTTCATCTCTTCCTATTTTCACCCATCTGTCATTTCCGACATTAGTTTTCATAAAAATACAAATCTCGTCTTGCATGTGGAAATTTAGAAAAAACAAATTTAGGACAAAAATTATAATTATATAATTCAAATTCACAACTACTCTACAAAATGAGCATTTTCTTAATTCAATATGGAATCACGCTTAAATTAACTTTAGATGGCAAAAGTTATATTACCTCAACAACATTTGAATCATCTGATTTATTGAATGACCTTTTTGTTAAAACCTTCTTTTTTTCATTCAAAAATGTCAGCTCTTTGCAATCTGCATTATTAGGAAGAAGAGGTGGCTGCAACATTCCAATTCTCCACGTAGAAAGAAGAGGTGGCTGTAACATTCCAAACATTATTAGTGATTAATGGCACATAGGAAGAACAGAAACAAAGATAATCAATTACATAAAATCCTAAACATTGATTAATGGACAGAAAACTAAAAACCCTGAATATGTATAAATCATTTGAAAAAACAAACAAAAAAGAACTAATAAAAGCAAAGATAAATTAGAATAAGACCTTAAAAGTGATTTTGACAAAAAAAACCATACAAATCCAACTTGGAATTTGATGTGTAGATAGTGAAGGTAGATGATGGTGTTTGATGTAAAATTCAAACCTAAGAATGCATTTCCTCAAAAAAAATGACAATTGTTTGAAGCCTTAAACTTAAACTCAAACCTGGGAAACAAAATATCAATTTGAACCTGTGAAATCAAAACATTAGCCTATATTGCATAAGAAACCATAATCAGAAAAAAGATTATTAAAAAACTTGGAGTAAAAAACATAAATATAGAAGAAAACTAACCCTCATATGTTTTTTTTGTTGTTGTGGCAATGGTAGAGGAGGATTGAAAGCAAAAGTTAGCATCCACTTCTCTTCTTCTTCCATAAAAATCCATTTTGATATCTGTGTGTAATAATTGAAATGAGATGAAGTGATCAAACTAAAAAAACCATGAAATTCTAAAATTCATTGTTCCTGGTGGCAAATGAAATTTTGAAAGCAGTAATTGTCATGGACCAATTGCGTATCCAATGAGCTAGAATGGTGTGAAGTTCTGATTAGTAAATTGACATTTCTTGATAAGACACATCATAGAGCAGATAAATTAATGTGAACATAAATGATACATGTTTGGTTTGTCACAATATTGAAGCTCCATGACCTTACTACAAGCTTCTCAATTACCTCAAAGTAATACAAATAATAGATTTTTCAAGAAAATGAGTTGCAGCCTGAAGACAAGACAGAGAACTTTGGTGTCACCAAATATGTAAAAATCCCAAGTATCAATACATGCAACAAGGAATATAACATAAACTAATTTTTTATTATATTAACAAAAAATCTTTGCAAATATGGCAACAAAACTATAAGTAATATTTGCAGCCATCATCAAAGATCAACAAAAATCTAGAAAATTGGCTTATTACCTTTGTTCAGATAGTCATGAAAACCCACAAATAGTAGATTTTAGTTCTAATTTAATGGACAAACTCACATCTGGAATATTAGCTTATATACAAATTTAAGGAAATTAACGACTTTAATCAGTTTCAAAGCTCATCCACATACTTTTTGTACATGTACATACTTAATGAAGGTGTTTGTGAGAGCTGTTCATGAAGCTAACTGGATGAATGAGATGGAAATCACCAATTATGATTCATACCAGCTTATGTTGGTGTAGCATAACCTCTAAACCTCCGAGCTTCTTCTTTATTAAGAAATCAAAACAAAGGAAAACAAATTATCAATTAATAAAGTTAAAAATCATAAAATCACCCACCATTATAAAACCCTAGAAGCCTGCGATGAATAATAAACCATATGAGTTACACAGGAAGAGAACTTATAAATAGAAATCCCAAAACTAAAAAAATAGAGCACCAGCTACCTTAATCTTTACATTACCTTTTCAGATATGGGTATTTGGTGGAAGAAATTAGTATCAATTTATCAAATACCGCCTCCTTTTCCATAAATCTGAAGTAGCAAACCAAAATCCCTAATTTATGCTCAATAAAAAGCGCATTTATATAGGAAACATATGAGAGAGAGAGAGGATAATTCCAAATTTACTTTTTTGGATTCACGATGAAATCAAAAGAGCGCACATCAGGTGTCTTCCATAGTATCGTTACAATGATAAAGAGCAGGGTTGGCGGAGGACGAAGCTGGAGTGGGTGCCACTGGGCGAAGTGGCAGGGCAGTGCTAGAGTGGGTGATGTTGATTTGGTGACGACGATGCTTAGTGGTTGTGGTAGCGGTGGTGGGGGTGCACTATCAGTGCTGTAGAGATGCACACCTTAATCACTGCTAACCACCATCCTCCACCACTGAAAATCTCAACCTGTTACAGCAACTTTAAACCACCGAGACCGCCTTCGTGAACCACCCCTTTCCAACCGACGAACACCTCAATGCCATCGAGAACCAAAGCCACAACCTTCATCGGACCAAGAAAAAAGAAAATAAGAAGAAGTGATGGTGCTCTTGGTTTATTGTGAATCGAATGTGAATGCTTGAATATATCGGTGACTGAAATCAATCACAAATATGAAGTCTTTAATGATTCAGAATGATTCAACGACGACGAATGTATGGTTACACGGTGGCATTCTTTCAGAGACGATGCATCGGTGGTTCATAGGTTTTCCCATCGGGATAGGGAGGGATCGGTTATGGGAGAGCAACACAATGTTGACCGAACTGAGAGAGGAGATGTCATATAGAGTGTATCTCCTATTAATCGATCTAATCACCTAAAATACCGATTCAATTTTAACTGATTCATGGTTTAAAATTCAAAATCTGAGTTTTGTTGACATCAGATAAGAATTGACCGGAGCATAAAAAGTTTGTGCATTATGTTCAACTTTGACCGATTCATCCGTTGACCGCATGATAAGATCTGTTTTTCTATAATGCATAAATTCATTGTACAAGATGCATTAAAGGTTATACCTCTTAAAATTCAGCAAAACATGGTAAATGCTTATTAAGGTATAAAGATAAAGATATATATATATATATATATATATATATATATATATATATATTGAATTCCTCCACCTTTATCATACTCATTTTTTTTGAAGAAAATAACTTCTACATCCCCCCTAATTGTCGAGTTATTCGAAAATGCACGGAATTACATTCAAACTCTTCATTCAATAATGTCATACAACTGAATGTGGAACCTACAACAATTTTATCAAGGTCGTCACTTTAACCGACCTCATCATGTTTTTAAAGAGACCTATAATTGTCTTTCTGATGATGTCGTTCACATTCGTGAACAAGAAATAGGTGTGAAAGGTACATTTTTAAACAAACTAAACCATTTACACAAAAACGTTCCGACTTTAATTTTTATTATAAATAAATAATTTCGTAATTTTTTTATGTTTTCAGGCTTGAAGCTAAAACCGGAAGCAATTTACCACCTTACGTTGTCATACATTGAGAAATCTTTATTGAGTTGTGGCTTGAGTCTTAAGCAAATATCCAATATGCCATTACCTGATCACAAATATATTTAAGATTCTTGCAATATGTTAATTCAAGACGAGCTTAATTATGATCCGTCAAGTCTTGAAATTGCACATCAACAATTGCATTCCAAATTAAATGTCGAGCAAAAAAAAGTTTATGATACAATTATGAATGCGGTTAACAATAGAAAAGGTGGTGTCTTTTTCCTTTATGATTATGGGAACAGGAAAAACATTTGTTTGGAAGACATTGTCTGCTGCTATTAGATCTAAAGGTGAAATTGTTGTCAACGTTGCTTCAAGCGGAATTGCAGCACTCTTGCTCGCTGGTGGTAGGACAGCACATTCAAGATTTCATATACCAATTAACTTGAATGAGGATTCGTTTTGTTCTATTATGCCAGGTAATGATGTAGCTGCCCTATTGAAGAAAGCGAGACTTATAATTTGGGATGAAGCCCCAATGATGCACCGTCATTGTTTCGAAGCAATTGATAGGACACTTAGAGACGTTATCATATCATTGGACAAGGATAAACCATTTGGAGGCAAGACCATTGTATTTGGAGGTGACTTTCGTCAGATTCTTCCGGTAATACAAAGAGGAAATCGTCAGATATTGTCCAGGCATCATTGCATTCATCAAGATTATGGCGTGAATGTACAGTTTTACGTTTGACTGTAAACATGAGGCTTCAGGCCGGTTGTCCAAACAATGATTTCGAAGAGACAAAATCATTTGCTGAATGGATCCTTAAAATTAGTGAAGGTACTATCGGTGGTCCTAATGATGGTGAAGTTGAAGTTGAATTTCCAGAAGATGTTATCGTTCCCTCTATGGTTGACCATATTCATTCAATTGTATCCTCTATTTATTCATCCTTTCAGAACCATCTTGATGATCCATCTTATTTTCAAGATAAAGCTATTTTGGTCCCTACAAACGAAGAAGTCGATGCTATCAACGACTACGTGTTAGAATTGATGAAAGATGAAGGGAAAGCTTATCTGAGTTCTGATTCGTTATGTGAGACCGAAGACCAAGATTCATTTGAGGAATCAATATACTCTCCAGATGTGTTGAATGGTTTTAAGGCTTCTGGAATTCCCAACCATAAGCTTATACTAAAGAAAGGTGTTCCGGTGATGTTGCTTCGTAATATCGACCAAACCAAAGGACTATGCAATGGTACAAGATTACAAATCGTAAGGCTTGGAAGACACGTCATCGAAGCACAAATCATATCTGGTAGATTTTTCAACGAGACTACTTATATACCTCGGATGAAGTTAACCCCGTCTGATAAAAAATTTTCATTCCGTTTTCAGCGGAGGCAATTCCCCATAGCTGTTTGTTTCGCTATGACCATTAACAAAAGTCAAGGACAGTCATTATCAAATGTTAGATTATACTTACGTAGACATGTCTTCACTCATGGTCAGTTATATGTAGTTGTTTCCCGTGTAACAAGCAAAAAAGGGTTGAAGGTACTCATATGCGACGAGGAAGATTGTTCAACTAATAAAACAAAAAATGTTGTCTATAAAGAGGTCCTTCAAAGATTATAGATATTTATCGATTTCATTATATCTTGTTCACATTTCAATAATAGAAACACCCATAAATATATTTTTTTTAATAATTATGGAATATATGTAGACGTTTCTATGTTTTTTATGCGTTTTCCCGCGTTTAACGCGGGTTATAATCTAGTTTATATTATAAAGTAGATAAGCTTGACGACACATATTGATTAGGCATCATAAACACATAATAAGCGTACACTTATCAACACTAATAGTAATTTCATCTATTAAGTATTTTTTTGTTCTTCTCTTTGCATTTCCATTTAATATGTTTAACCAATGATTACATTATGTTTAAGTGATTGAAACTTGCTTATTAAGATGGAATAAAAATATATTTTTTTGCATATTAAATTACCGATTCAACATCGACATTGACATAAGGTTTCATATTTAGAAAAAAAAAAAAAAAAACCCTTCAAATTTACTATTCTATTCATGTAGGAGTAATTCTCCAAATGCTTTCAAACACCTTATACGCATCAACATTCATATATAATACAAAATACAAGACTTGAATTACAAATTTTGTAAGAAAAAAGTTACTTACGAGGATTACAAAGAAGCAATTAATCGGAAGAAAAAAGTAACTTACGAAGATTAAATATCCACAAAAAAAATGCTTACATACGCAAATGCAATTATGAAATCAATTAAATGAAAGAAAAAAATACTTACGTCAATGAATATCTTCGAGAATGATAGGTAAGAACGAACATCACCATCTTCAACCCACCAATATCAAAATCCGACGGGAGAAATCTATGATGGGGACAAGTGGCTGTTAATATAAAGAGGGGGATAGAGTTATGGTTAGAAGTAAACGTAATTAACATGATTATAGGAAATAAATATGGAAGTTATTTTATCTTTAAATCAAATTACTAAACTATCCTTATTTATTTAATTAATAATTTATTTTTTTCTTGAATTCTTATTGGTTCCTACATCCATACAATATTTGTCCATCCACATATGAACCTAACGCTCTCTCTCTCTCTCTCTCTCTCTCTCTCTCTCTCTCTCTCTATATATATATATATATATATATATATATATATATATATATATATATATATATATATATATATATACTTAGGTTATTTTGTTTCTAGTAACTATTGTGTGTCAGAATGTACAGATCTGGACCATTTGATTGAATATAATCAATGGTCATGATCTGAGGGTCTATGATAGTAGAATATGATAACATGTACCATATAATCACACAAATTTCAACATAATGACAATTTAGTCAATTAACCTACATTAAAAAAGGGAATTTTCGTATTTTTAGGGATAATTAATTCCTTTATTTTTAAAAATCTGAATATTTTAAATTAATTCAAAATTAAAAATCCGATTTTATTCTGTCAGAATGATAGAATGTTAGCAATAAACTAGTAAATATATTTTTCGATTTTATTCTGTCAGAATGACAGAATGTCAACCATAAACTAGTAAATACATTCTGAAAGAATACACAAAATTGATTCTTGAACTAATAATATACCAAATAATTACATTGTATGATTGTGATTCATTGAATAATAACAAACATTCTGAAAAAATAACAAGTATAATTCTTAAAAAAAATAACAACATTCTTAAACAATGAGTATGATCATTCTTTAATTCATTCTTCAAGCCTTTCTCATCAGGTCTTCAAGCCATTCTTCAAGCCATATCTATCAGAAATTCATTGCCAAGTAATTTGTAGTGATACACTTGTAACAACTGCACATTAAACATACAAATAATTAACTACAATTCTATCAGAATACAACAATAATATTGTTACAGAATAAATTATTCTTGCATAATGGTTTTGAATATTCTTAAAGAATTAACTACAACCATAGCCATAAACCATCATTCTTCTCTTATACTTTCAAACATATGCAATTCAACAATTATTATTATTATTATTGCTCCTTATAAAAAGAACATGCCAATTAAATATGTTACCTTGTTCAAAAGGGCAACGAGCAGGATCTTCACCAAAATATAATGCCAATGCATCAACATTTCTACCCTACAACACAAACATTATAAAATAATACAAAATATATATAAAGTTTAATTCAAAGGGTTGTTCTTGATTCTTACCACCACAGAATACAAATTTGTTACAGACCCCACTTCCAACTCAGCAATGCTGATAAACTGATTCGGTGTCTAACAATGCAACAAAAAGAAATATTTGCATCAGATTGTAGTTTTATATAAAAAAAAGATGTCGAATTAGAAGAAATTGAGTAAAATATTTGTGTATTTACTTTATGAAAAACTTCATAGACATGGCCATCGTTTGCTGAAGCATCTAGTTCTTGTCTGACCTTTTCAAGACCCTTAATAATGGCCTGCATTTCTTCTGCTAAAGACTTCAATTGTATCTGCAAACAAGAAAATCCTTTCATTTATCATTTTCTTTAAATAAATCTTTTTTTTTGAGAAAATAAATATTTTTTTCTTACTAGCATTTCATCGAATAGTTGAAATGCATGATATGTATGCAGCATCGGTTATTAGGCAGCAAAGAATTGAAACATCTCAAATTCACGCAATTAAAAAGACTAATTACAACCGTACAGATCTTTATTCAACAACATACTTTTGATAGATCCACCTAAGCAACTTGCGAGAAAATGTAAATTTGAAACAAACAGAGTGGTCGTTACCCCTTGAAAATGGTAATAATCAAATCATATAGCTGTATTTTGTTGTTATACAAGAGAGCCATCGCAGGAGCTGATAAACGGAGAAACAAGGAAACGGTGGCTGGAATGAGACGTCGGAGCTTCTTCGCTTGGTGAGAGAGACTCAAGGCGTACGATGTCGTTACCCCTTGAAGTTGGAGGATTCAAGTTGGTTTAAGCGTGCACTCGATTTAAGTAGGCTAATCTCGGGGATGACCTAATTTGCCAACAGAGGGATTAAATTGAAATTAGGGATGGGAGGAGAGGAAATCGGTGATGGTCGGCTGGTAGAGGAACAACATTGAAGTTTCCGATTGAGGTGAGGCTACAGGTTTTTTAGGTCGATCGTTTAAAGATAAAGAGGGGAGAAAACTAGGTTTTAGGAAGTTAATGAATGACCATAATTAAACATGCAAAGATTACTATAATACTCTTACATGATTTATTCAAAGATTTATTATTTCCTCAATTCTCATTGGTGCATACATGCACACAATAGTTGTTAGAAACATTTGAACCAAGACACCAATCTTTTTATCAATTTTTAGAGCTTGTTTTTTTATCAAAAAAAAACTAAAAATATAGAAATTCATAACTTTTTATCCTTTTTCCAGTGATATCAAATTCAATAAAAAAAATCATCAAATTCACAGTGTGAATCTGAATTCACATGGTGAACCCGAAAAATATACAATTTATTTTTTAGCATTCACAATGTAAAGTTGTGAATTTAGAAATTTTTTGTTTTTTTTTTCGATAAACAATAAGCTCTAAAACTTGAAAAAAAAATTGTTCTTTGGAGAACCAATAATTATGGTTCTCTATTGAACTTTTCCATATATATATATATATATATATATATATATATATATATATATATATATATATATATATAGGAGTAGGATCAAATGAGAACACTAAAAAGGTTGAGAACGCGAGAACAAATCTGGACCATTTAAATACTTAAATCTAAGGTCATTATTGAAAGGGGGATTTATGAAAAAATCTTAAACTGTTGGCATTAAAATGTAACTTTTAAATGGTTAGAAGGACATAACAGGAATTTCAACTTTACTATCTCCTATAATTTCTCACCGGTTCATATATTTCCTTTAATCTATCGTGTATATATTTCCACCTCTTCTTTTTAGGGTTTCATAAAACTCACGCCATCATCGATCTGGCATCACCTACAACCCACCACGAAGATCTGTTCCCATCATCATTGGTCTCGGTAGGTGCAGCAAGGGCTGCTCAAGCAGTTTTTGGCTGCTTCTCCTTCGATTCCGGTAGCATATGCGAAGGGGAGGAGAACATTTGGCCCGATGGAGCAAGGCAAGCGGAAAACAGCAACTCCGGTGAGGGTTTTCGCCGTGGTGCTCGATAGAAGAAGAAGAAGGTGCGAGGGGACGAAGAAACAGGCAGTAACAACGATCTATCAACAGAAATCGATGGGTCACGACAGGGGCAGTTCATCGGGTAACGCTTCTTTTTCTTTTACTTTTAATTTGACTGTAAATCAATGGGGCTTAATGATGGGTGTTTGGCTTTGATTTTCCAACAGAAACCGATGGGTTTATATTACTAGATTTAGATTGGTGTTTTGTTTGCTGGAAGTTGATATGAAGAAGATGAAGCAATAATCCCAATGGTTGTATTTCTTGTTTGTAGGAAATCACGAGAACAAAACAAAATTTGTTCTTGACTGTAACTTGATAGGAAGGAAGAAGAAGGGTAAAAACGGGTTTGGTTTTTGTTTTGGTTGATTCATTTGAAAAGAACAAGGAAAAAGAAAACGAGCGTAATAGATGTGAATCAGTATTACGGATTGATTAATTGTTAATGATTAGAACTATGTTTTTTAGATAAAGTTTCAGTTGTAATCTTATATGAATACAATGTCAAATGTCTCATTTGTAGTTAAACATCAATGAATAGAAGTATATTATAATTACATGATTTCATATCTTAATGATTTATGTTTTGAACAGGTGTAATTTAGAGCTTGATGTTTCTAATAAGGATAACCTTAAAGCATGGAAATTGATAGCAGGATCAAGGGCGTCCCTCTTCGTTTATATATGTATGATAGCAGCAAGAAAATATGAAGAAAAAAAACAATGTTGTAGTAATTCCTCTATGATTCACATTATAATCTTATATGAATATAACTACTGAAAATATAGGAATTTAGATGTTTTTTGTATTCTTGTAAATTTATTCATGTATGATTAGAGGTGTATTCATTTATGATTGTAATAAAAGGCGTATTCATTTGCAACGAAATGATGAATTCTTAAACATTTTTTCATATCAATTCATGAACAAAAAAAAAGA